TTGATGGAGCTAAATTTCTGAAGGAAATCTTTGAGTCTTCCAGAGATTTGAGACTGGGTCCGATGGTCTACTCCCAGCAGGACAATGAGTCTAAACGCAGCACTGCAGCAACACTCCGGTGGTTTAAGAATGGGTTTAGTGTCCTCCAGTGGCCCAGTTGAACCCCACACTGGGGGATTCATGAGAAACACTACTTTTAAATTCTACATTTTCAAGATTTGCTTTTTAAAGCCACATTTAATTTGATTAATCTGGAGTATATATTTTTTGTAGAATTACTACTCAATCGTTTTTTTAGAACAAAATCTTTTCTAGGAATATTGACTTTTTTTGCTTACAGACTGTTTGTAAAGACAGACTTAAGATCCCGGTCTTTTTTAGAAAAACAGTCATTGAAGAACAAAACAGAATCCTGCTTTACATTTTCCCATCCATCACTGATCAATCTACCACATACAAAGTTCATGCTCAATAATCCAGGTAATAATCCAGCAATGCTCAGTCAGGTCATCTGGACAGTTTCTTTTTTTGTTTTAAGAAACTGTCCAGATGACCTGACTGAGCATTGTTCAATCTACCACATATTTTTTACATCTTCAATTGCTTTTGTAGTTACGGTTGCCTTCCTCTAGAGGGAAGAACAGTGAACTAGGAAAACAAGATGCATAAATGTGGAAAAGGTTTCCAGCACATTCCATTTGTATCACACAAATGTGTTTTGTTTGTATTTTGAACTGTTGTTCACTGATGCTCACCGGTGTGCTGCGACAGCCATCCTTTATAGTGGGCAATGTGATGAGGATGATACGCTTGCTCGTATGTCAGTGGTTTGTCGCCTTTGCCCACGCGAATACGAGCAGCTCTATTCTGCAAGGCAAGTGAAAGACAATAGGAATAAATGCTGTTAAAATAAATTTTACTGAGAACTCACAAAACTGTAGACCCTAAGAAAAAAAAAAAAAGGCATCATGCAACTCATTTAGGGGACAATACAAGTTGAGCGATGATAAATAATCTTAAATTAAAGACATATAACAGTAATGTGTTTATTTACCTTGCAGCAAACTGCAGTTACATGGAGGCCTCTGTTTCCAGGACTGCACAGCAAGCTGGACCGAGCCAAGGCGCTCTGCAAACACAAAAGATCATGGAAACCAGGAAATTGTTGCGATGATTATAAACCAAAGGGTTTATTGTCAAAATGAGAGTAAGTAATTTCAAAATGCAGGAATCATGTGTACCCTGCAAAAACTCAAAAGCCTGTTCAGGTAGCGGTGGGTGCCTACATGTCCTAAAGTGTAACAACAGTGGCCCTGATTACACATTTTACACGGAATCCGGAGAAATGAACATTGATTAAAGTATAATGTTATCTAAAATGACAATATAATTTCAAAGAACTATTTCAATATGTATTTTCTTACCAGTAGCCTCACGCTCCCTGTGCTTGTCAAGGACGCCGCCATGTTTTTCTTCCCTGTTTAACTTGAAAAGCGAAATGAACCAACGCGTAACTCTAATTTTTACAAACCAGGTATAGTTTAGAAGCGTTTCACAAATACTGTTAGAACTAAAGCTTGTGAAACAAAAGCAAAAACAGTATTTCTCTTGAAAGCCGCGACGCTTAACCGGAAATGGAATTTAAAAGCGGTTAGTTGTTTTTACCGGATCGGTGTTGAGCTGGACCAACCGGAAATAAGAAAATAAAATATATTTTTAGTTACTAACAACACTTGATTTTATTTGCGCTGTATTTAAACTTTAAAACGTTTATTTACATGTTAGTGTTTTAAGCTTACAGAACTCTGTATCACTTTTTAGTGTTATTTGACCGCTTGTGGAGAACTATAAAAATTTATTATGAAAGCATTGCACCGGAAAAGGTTTCACTGTTCTAGAAAAAAAGAAAAACCGTCTTTTAGAAACGTCAACTTGTCGGTTTACTACAACAACAACAACACACTTTTGTCGTGCTCTGGTCACTTGTTGGTGGTTGGAAGACCTCTCGGGTTCGTTGAAAGATATAAAAACATTAAAAGTGCGATGGCGTCGCCCGTGGAGATGACAGAGATGTATGACAACGCTCTGTTGGGGATCTTGCAGCACGTTGGGAACATACAAGACTTCCTGCAGGTCTATTTTGGCTTTCTGTATCGTAAGACGGACTTCTATCGCCTGCTGTCTGGTCCTAACGACAAAATGGGTTTCCCTCCTGGTGTTGCGGAGAAGATGGTGCTGAAGGTGAAGTTTGACTGTATGATTGAACACAACCATAAGAATCACTGACATTATTACACTAATATTAATCTTAAATAAAATTACAGGTACTATCCAGACTTCTTCTTTCAGCTTTTCCCTCTTCAGGGGTCACCACAGAGAGTCATCCTCCTCCATCTCACTCTGTCCTCCCAACCACCTCCATGTCCTCTCTAACTGCATCCATATGTCTCCTCCTTGTCTTTTTCCTGGCAGCTGCATTTCTTACATCCTTCTACCAATATACCCACTGTCCCTCCTCTGGACATGTCCAAACCACTGTCCCTCCTCTGGACATGTCCAAACCATCTCAGTCTGGTCTCTCTAACTTTATCTCCCCGTTGTTCAACCTGTGCTGAACCTCTGATGATCTCATTCCTAATCTTATCCATCCTTGTCACTCCTAAGAAGAACCTAATTAACATGTTCATTGCAGGTGCAGGTACCATCCATCCAGCCATCTTTACCTGCTTCTTCCTTTTCGGGTCGCGGGGGTCACTGGTACCATCAACAGAATATTAACGAGGGATGAATGTTTCTGAAGATGTTTGCGGTTGTAAACTACAATTTGTGTGTTTGTTGCTGAAACATCGTATGAACTACTGAACGTAATTGGAGAACTGTACAACAACTGATTAACTTTTAGAGCCACTCTGATTAAAGATGGCTGCCACAGCCAGCTGATTATATGTAAAACAAAAAAACAATTATTACGCCTAATACAGATTTCAAGATTTGGTGTGGTAGTAGCTGAGATTTATCCCCAACACACATAATGTGGGCTAACAGATTGCCAAAGATTTTTGTGTAGAACTTTACCATTTGGAGTTGTCTCTTCATGTCTGTTAGCAAAATATCTGAAGAACCACTGCAAGGATTTTTACACTTTCAGGAAATAATTATTGGATGGATCTGTGTGACTGATTAACTCTGAAGTCCAGTTTAATTTGAGATGGCCACCACAGCCAACTGACTTAAGAAAACATAAAAATGGTGATAACTCTGTAAGTTTTTCAGATTTTGTGCTAAAGCTTTTAGTTGTAGCTGAAGACCATTCAGGTGCTCCTCACTGGGCAAGTTCTTCCAGTAGTTTAAATTTCAACCAAACACCACCGAAGCAGCTAACTTCTCCCATTCTAATATCAGCACCTGGTTTGGGACGTCACTGTTTTCTTTTCCCAGACATTTCAGGTGTTTGAGAAGCTGGCAGAGCATGACCGGGAGAGAGCGCTGAGCGAGCAACAGAAGAGCCGAGCGAGTAAACATGTCCCCCCAGCCATCCAGGAGCTGGAGGTAAACTCTGCAGCCTGCAAGGAGACCGAGGAGCACAGCAACACCGAGCCGTCACAGATGGACCGCGTCTCCTCAGATGTAGTGGAGGAGGCCACTCCTGATGCCTCTGTGGCCCCTCAGGCTGTCGGCAGCAGAAGTGATGTTCCAGCTGAGCAGGCTGCTGCAGCAGAGCAGTGAGTACCAGAGGTTCTGTGTTACAACGATGAATCGGTGGCATCAAGACAAACGTCATAAATCTCACAATGAGTTGAGCACCAAACATTTCAGATATAATGCAATGAAATATCTTCTGTTCTTCATTTTTTGGCACACTTGTTTGTTTCAGATCGTCAAACAAATGTTAATATTAGACAAAGATAACTCAAGTAATTTCATTACGCAGTTTAAAATAATGATTTTATTTATTAAGGGGGGAATGTTGTCCAGTTCAACCTGGCTCTATGTGAAAAATGCCCTCCTTGATAAATCATGATTTAACTGTAATATGTTGGAAAGCTGGGCTCAGTTCCACCAGAGCAGAGCTGTTCAACTAAATGATAGTGTAAACAAACACTATAATAAACCATAAACAAAGTAAACCAAGTATTAAATGATCTGTTACCTTTTAAATTTATTTTGTTGCTTTGAGTCATAAATGCAATAAACAGAACCCGAAAGTGTAATGCAAAGAAATGACATCTTGAGATTTATTTAGTTGCAATCAAAGTACCGGTAGTGATATTCGAATGTGAAACAATATAAAAAACAAAAATGACACACTATGCCTCCTCTTCAACACCAATATTATTCTGTCATCACTGACCTTACAAATCTTTACACTTCTCTAAATTAAAAAAATCTTCCCTGCATGACCGACATGTTCCAGGTGGTCCATTAAGAACCAGTTCTCAGTTGAAATAAAGTGGCAGCACAGACCAGTTCATCCTCAACGGTTCATAAATCACAGGTGAAGCGGCCACCTCCCACTCAGGTGTGAGCTTTGAGTGGAACCAAAAGAGGCGGAGCAGAACTCAGCTGGGCTGCAGGCGAGCGTGTGCATGCCGAACGTCTCCTTCATGTTATTTACTGTAATTAATTAACTCATGTAATCATCCTATTTGTGGTTAACTATTTTTTTAAACTATCTACAAAGCTGCTGTGCATCCTCTTCAATATTCCCCCAGTAATAAATCTATTTGTTGTTGATTAGTCCGGCTCGTGGGCGATCACACACTGATATGATCAGTTTATCAGAACTCGCACATCTGGAGAGAAAGAGCACACCCCCGCGAGAGCGCACAACCTTTTGACCTGTATGTCTGCTCATTTAATTCTTGTAATGAAACATTATCAACATCAAAACAGATATTTGTAGCCCCAGATTAGAGCAAAGATGTGTTGAACTTTATTTTATTTCCCCTCAAACTCACAAAGTTCTCTCTGTGAGAGCGTCCTAGACTGTGTGAGCTGCAAAGCGTGCTGGGTAGCCTTGTGGAAATATGTGCAATGTATCTGACTGTTTACGATGTTTCTGACTGTTTACAATGTTTTCTGACTGTTTACAATGTTTTCTGGCTGTTTACAATGTTTTCTGACTGTTTACAATGTTTAAAATCAGGTCTCTCTTGTAAATGAGTCCTCGAGGCTCAATGGGATTTACCTGTATAAATAAAGGTTGATTGATCCTCAGTTCTGGGTTACATTAGTACATGTACTGACAACGTCACCACAATCAGATATGTTGAGTTACCCAAACAGAAAACCTTGGCTGAATGCAGAGGTGCACACCCTGCTGGCAGCCAGGAACACTGCCTTCAGGTCTGGAAACCCACAGGAGCTGAGCAGGACAAGGAAAGAGCTGGTTGCTGGTATTAAGAAGGCCAAGGTCACATATGCACAGAGGACCGAGGGTCAATTCACCTCCAAGACCCTCGGAGCATGTGGAGGGGCATTAAGAGCATAACAGATTATAAAGGAAGGAGTGAACAATGCTCCAAAGACCCATCACTGCCTGATGCTCTCAACAAGTTCATCGCACGCTTCGAAGACCTGAACAGACCACCCAGCACCAGACTCACCTCACAACTGGATGAAGAGCATCTCAGCGTGACCTCAGCAGAAGTAAGGAGTACCTTCAGGAGGATTAATCCGCACAAGGCAACCGGCCCAGACAACATCCCCGGAAAAGTGTTGAAGGAATGTGCTGATCAGCTCTGTGAGGTGCTGGCAGACATCTTGACAACACCTCACTTACCCTGGAGACAGTTCCCACCTGCCTGAAGACTGCCACCATCATCCCAGTCCCAAAAAGCTCTACAGTGACTGGTCTGAATGACTATCGGCCAGTGGCCCTCACCCCGATAGTCGCTAAATGCTTCGAAAAACTGATAATGACCCACAACAAAACAACCATCAACATCAACGAGGACCCTCATCAGTATGCATACCGTGAGAACTGATCAACAGAGGATGCAATCTCCTCTGTGGTTCACACTGCGCTCAACCACCTGGAGCAGAAAAACTCTTACGTCCATATGCTCTTTGTGGACTTCACATCCGCCTTCAACACCATGATCCCCCAAACCCTGATGGACAAACTATCCACACTAGGACTAAGCATTTGCAACTGGGTACTAGACTTCTTAACAGACCTCAGTCTGTGATGATCCACAACTTCTCCTCCTCCACCATAACCCTCAGCACTGGCTCTCCTCAAGGATGTGTGTTGAGCTAACTCCTGTTTACTCTGCTCATGTATTATTGTGCAGCTACCCATCCAGGCTGTCACATTGTAAAGTTTGCAGATGACACAGCGGTGGTGGGATGCATCACAAACAATGATGAGTCCAACTACAGGCAGGAGTTGGAACACCTGGAGAGCTGGTGCAGAGAGAATAACCTTCACATCAATGTGAAGAAGACAAAGGAGATGATTGTGGACTTCAGAAAGAACAAACACACCTACACCCCCTGAACATAAGAGGATCTGTGGTGGAAGTGGTCTCCAGCTACAAGTACTTGGGTGTACACATGAATAACAACCTCAGCTGGAGCAACAACAACACCAGCCTGATCAAGAAAGCTCATCAGAGACTCTACTTCCTCAGACGGCTGAGACGAGCTGGTCTGGGAAGCTCAGTCCTCACCTCCTTCTACAGGTGTGCAGTGGAGAGCATCCTGTGCTCGAGCATCAACGTGTGGCATGGAGGCTGCACAGCTGCAGAAAGAAAAGCTTTGCAGAGAGTGGTGAAGGCTGCACAGAAGATGTTGGAGTCAGTCTCCCCACCATCACAGACATCTACACCTCCAGATGCAGGAAGATGGCCACCTGCATCATGAAAGACCTCACTCACCCAGCACACGCACTTTTTGCCCCACTCCCCTCAGGAAGGAGGTTGAAGAGCATTAAGTGTAGAACCACTAGACTGAGGAACAGCTTCTACCCTGAGGCTATTAGACTCATGAATCTCTAACTAAAATAATCACTGTGGAAAATCTCATCATGTTGCTGCTGATCTGTTTCATGTTGCTGCTGATCTGTTTCATGTTGCTGCTGATCTGTTTCATCTTGCTGTGTTCATGCGTGCTCATCTGCTCACACAGACTCATGTTCGTGCTGCTGTTCGACATAATGTTTTATGTTATGAGTGCTTAGTGTATTTTTAGTTGATGTTTTTCTTAGTTCATATCTTAGATGTTATTACTGCTTTTCTTTTACATTTTATTGTTGGATGTAACTGGGACCCTGTGTACATAATTTCGTTCCACCACATGTACCACATGAGGTGCGAATGACAAATAAATCTCTCTGACTTCCTGTGGTTGTTCTTGTTAATGTGCCGTTCAGGTTTTGGTATTTATGTTGAAGTCTCTGTTATCGGCTGTAAACTGACACCTGGAGTCCGAGGTTGTTCCCGGTACGTATAAGTGGAAAAGTACCGAATGGTTAAGCAGTGAGTGTTTTGGCTGAAGAATGATGTCTCTGGGTATCGCCTGGCCTGGCGTTGTGTTGTGTGTAAATTAATGCTTCCAGTGGGAGAGGGGCTCTTCTTAAAGCGTATTTCTGTCTGCTCATGAAAATGTTGAAAATTGAGATGGGCACAGGATTACTGAAATATGTCATTTCAAATTGTTTTTTTTTCTTTTCTTTTTCTTAACGAACTCATCGATGACGATGAACCAGACTTCAGTCATGGTCCACGGGCCGCTAGTTGAATAGTCCTGCTGTAGAATCAAATCATGTTATCCACTAGAGGTGCACCGATTGCACTTTACTGACCAATTACAGATTTCTAAAAAGTCTGACCTGCTGATTCTGATTTTGTTTTATTAGAGACACTGTCAGGTGTTATAAGGTCACAATGCACCTTCAGTTTTCCAATATCATTTTATTGAAAAACATGCCCTTGAACAATATCCTAGAAACAATGCAAACTTGTTTTAACTGGCCATGAGGTAGAGCTCTGAAATATAAATGAAGTTCAGACAGTTGTTGTTAAAACAAACAAAATCGGTAAAACCAGTTTCTCGTGCAAGTATCGGACAATTTCCCAACATTAAGGAACTCGGGGTCGATAAATCGGTGCACCTCTATTATCCACGAGTAGGTTGTTGTTTTAAAAACTGTATTTTTGATTAACTCAGGTTGTCTTTTGTCTGATATTAACTTTTTTTGGATCATCTGGAACGTGTCAGTGTGACAATAAAAACCAGAAGAAGGAAGAGGCGGACACGTTGTCACAGCGCTGCATGTTTCCAGGTCTCTCTTGTAAATGAGTCCCCGAGGCTCAATGGGATTAAGCTGTAGAAATAAAGGTTGAATGAATGTTGTTCCTTGTTCTTGTTTGAATCCATTCCAGAAGTCAAGATGCATTTCAGTCCGATTCCGACTGTTACAACGGAGCGGTGAGAGAAAACTACAGCTGGTCTCAGGACTACACTGACGTGGAGGTCCGAGTGTTTGTGCCCAGAACGGTAGTGAAGGGCAGACAGGTGAGTGCAGCCTGTCCAGCCCTCTGACACAGCAGGAGCACGTCAGAGTGCCGACTGCAGGTGTGTGTTGTGTCATCGTCCCCAGGTCAGTGTCAGTCTGCAGAGCAGCAGTCTGCGTGTGTGTGTGAAGGACGGAGCTGAAGACAAAACACTGATGGAGGGAGAATTCACGCACAAAATCAACACTGAAAACTCTCTGTGGAGTTTAGAACCTGGACAGTGTGTCCTGGTGAGTGCACGAGCACGGTGTAGTTCAGTCCATGTGAGCTGCAGCACGTTGCCACAAAGAGTTCGCTCTTCCAGGTCGACCCGCTAAAATGATGCCTTGATGTTTGTGACTTGCAGCTATCGCTCAGCAAAACCTCTGAGGTTTGGTGGAACGCTGTACTGAAAGGTGAGAAGGAGATCGATATCAACCAAATTAACCGCGAGCGCTCCATGGCAACAGTTGATGATGATGAGCACGCTGTTCTGGACCGACTCACATTCGACTACCAACAGAAACTGCAGGGGAAGCCTCAGAGCCACGAAATGGTAAGAACCATGTGTCACTGGTACAGACACACTGGTGCCCTTCCACAATAATCAAAAAACAACAGGACTGACCAGCAAGCCCCAGTTTGGTCTCGTCAGCCCCAGAGACTGGAACTTGTCAGCGTTGTTTTTCTGTCAGGACTGGGGCCCCTCCTGGGTCTTCTTCCAGAATGATTCAAGATGTGACGGATGGTGTGATCCAACAGTGACAAACCTTTAATGAGTTCTTCTTGAATGGTGTTTTGCTCTTGTTCTACCATATTACTGTATTTTCTGCTGTAAACATCACATCAGTCCAAAAATGTCTACTAAAGTGGAAAAAAACATAAATAAGTCACTTCACCGTATAAGTCACTTTTATTATGCGTCACCACTGACAACCTGGAAATGTGGCCCAGTGTTGTGCCAAAAAATGATAGGCTGCCGGGTGCGTGCACGGGAGGACTTTATCTTGTTAAATTCTTGCTAATCACCTAAAACAATTATTTGTTTGCTTGACATTTTAGTAAAGGTGTGTCTCTGTTGAACGTTTCCTTAATAAATGTACTTCAACGGTCAAATCAGCTTCATTTCTCCTGGGCGGCACGGCAAAATGAAACTGGTTTGATGTTTGCTCCAGAAGTTCCAGAGCGAGACGAAGGTGGTTTCTATGGCAAGTGTGTCATTAATAGCCACTTTTACCTATTAATGAGACACTTGGCTTGCCATAAACCTCGAGGACCCTCTAGCATCTGCAAATGATGGTGTTTAATCCAACATTTTTCAGTCAGGTCATCTGGACAGTTTTTTTTTTTTTTGGTGCTGAAATGTTTCGCCTTCCATCCAGAAGGCTTCATCAGTCAAGGAAACACACAACAAAACTGATTCTTCCCCCAAACAGCTTACTCCAAAGTGGAACAAACCAGTTATGTTGGTGCTAAGATACCTGGATTATTGAGCATGGACTTTGTTGTTTTCAACCAGTTTGACATGACTGTCAACAAAGAAGAGGGCCGGCAGTGGAGGAGGGGGCGTGACAAAGACACCATCTTAGCACCAACATAACTGGTTTGTTCCACTTTGGAGTAAGCTGTTGGAGGAAGAATCAGTTTTGTTGTGTGTTTCCTTGACTGATGAAGCCTTCTGGATCGAAGGCGAAACGTTTCAGCACAAATTTTTTTTTTAAAAACTGTCCAGATGACCTGACTGAAAAATGTTGGATTATATACCTGGATTATTGAGCATAGACTTTGTTGAAAGTGTTTAATATTTTTCATGTCAGAATGAATGAAATTGTCAGATCTCAGCCAAAAATTGGGTTGTAAATATGAAAAGCGTATATTAGTTGCTTCAGTGTACAAGTCGCAGGACTTGCAACTTTATGCAAAGAGGTGCGACTTATACGGCAAAAAATACGGCACCTGTTTGATGGACCTGGGCTGCCATTTGTTCTTGAACCTTACTTTTTAATAATAATGGCAGCTGTGGTCAGAGCAGGAAGCTGCTTGGAGATGGTGTTTACCTTTAACATGGATTTCTTCAACCTTCTCTTGAGCTCTGCAGTCAGCTCGGTCTCTGCTCCATGTTCAGTGACGTGCACATCTTCATCAAAGCTAAGGAGTAGGAGTACTAACAAATCCATTCATACTACTTTAGCCCTTTGTAAAATAAACATTTCACATAATTTTTGTTTAGTTTGCAGCTTACTTAGGCAGATAAATGTTAGACAAGTGCTTTTAATTGAACAAATTTCACAGGAAATGAAGCGTTTCAATGAGCTGTACGAGTATTAACAAATCTTTCAATATCTGCAGATAGCTGGATTCATTCTTTCTTGGAAACAAAAGACATTCAGAACAACCTTTCCCCGTGAAGAATAGTAAAAATTTCAGTGTAGATGTGCAAAGCTGGTAAAGACACATCCCAAAGACTTGGAGCTGTAATTACAGTGAAAGCTGTCGAACGACTCAGGGACACTGAAGACGCCATCAGACCTGTAGCTGTAAGTTGAGTGAAGCTGACACCCCACCCACTTCCAAAATTAAAGCAACTAGTCTGAATGGTTAGTGCTCCGTTAGTGCTGGTTTGTGCCGTTAAAATTTTCGTTAGTGCTGCTTTGCTTTCTGAGATATTAAAGATTAATTTTTAGCTCATCCAAAGGTCACAATACCCCCACGTTGCTCCGAAACGGACTGGAGTGGTGACGTCATCGGGCGAAATTATAATTCTTAATATCTCATAAACTAAAGCAGCACAAACGCTAGTTTCACCGGAACAAACGAGCACTAACGAAGCACTAAAAAAGTAGACCACTCCCGTCTGTTTTGGAGCAACATGGGGGGATTGTGACCTTTGGATGAGCTAAAAATTAATCTTTAATATCTCAGAAAGCAAAGCAGCATAAACGAAAATTTTAACGGCACAAACCAGCACTAACGGAGCACTAACCATTCAGACTAGTTGCTTTAATTTTGGAAGTGGGTGGGGTGTCAGCTTCACTCAGCTGTAGCTGTAAAGTGTTTTAAAAAACACTTCAATTTGTGTTTGTCTCATCGTGTAAAATCCTTTGAAGTTTGTGGAAAATGTGGGACAGGTACAGACTTTTAGCACGTTTGGTATTTAATATTATCATTTGATCTAGCGGTCTTTCTGTTTGTCCACAGAAGGTGCATGAGATGTTGAAGAAGGGCTGGGATGCAGAAGGCTCTCCGTTCAAAGGGCAGCAGTTCGACCCGTCCATGTTTGACATCCCGCCCGGCGCCGTGCAGTTCTGAGACGCCGCTCTAATTCAGCCAAATACGAACGGATCCGAGTTTATTGTTGGGAAACTGTTCAGTAAAGTCGGCATTTACATGGAAACTACGAGACGATGCACATTTAGGGTTGTGGATTCGAAAGCTTGTGAGGGGCGTGTCGTTATTTTAAACACTGCTTTGATGTTTCAGCAGAATTGTGCTTCTTTGCAGTTTGGACTTTATTGACTGACTTGCAGTGCCTCTTTATTCAAATTTAGTTGTGTGTTTTACATGTAAGTTTGTTCAGTCTCCAATTTTTTAAAGGTACAAGAAAAAGCGCATTTCTACTCTTAAGTATTTATTTGATCAAATAAAAATGTACCGCATAAAACACCTGTGCATCAGTTGGAGGACAACATGAAAACCATTAAGACACATATTAGTGGCTTAAAGCGAACTCCGACCACCGTCTGTCAAAGTGTATAAACCCTGTTTCACTCAGATTTCAGCTTGTTCACTCAGATTGTGTACTGTAGGTCAGATTGACAGTTTGTTACTAGATTCAGGGACAAAAGACGAGAATCTCAAACTGTAACGACGTGACTTGAGTAAAGAAAATAACAGATGACGATCTGATTTTGTTTTACTGTTTTTAAAGTCCAAACAAACTTGACAATAATTTGTTGTGTAAAGCCTGTAAAATAAAGAATAATAAATTTTCACCTTTTACTGTTAATTTTTCCACTTAAAGATTATTGACACCATTTTTTCTGAACTTTTTGGTTTTTATAAGCACTTACTAGATTTGAAAAAAAAAAAATGGAGGCCTTTTTTGTCACCGTCGCAGAGAGGAAACTAGAAATAATAGAAATACGCCTCATCCAGCTGTCCATCCATGTTTTGAGCACAATAACTTGGGGGGGAAGGAAGGTACTGACTTCCATTTTGGTGTGATGTGTAAGAAAGGTTCCTTGCCAGTTTCCCAGGTCAAAATCCAAGATGGCTGCCACTATTCAGGTGCTGGTCATAAAATTAGAAAAACATGAAAAAGTTGATTTATTTCAGTAATTCCATCCAAAAAGTGAAACTTGTGTATTATATTCATTCGTTACACACAGACTGATATATTTCAAATGTTTATTTATTTTAATGTTGATGATTAAACTGACAACTAATGAAAACCACAAATTCAGTATCTCAGAAAATTAGAATATTAAGACAAAAAAAGTGAGTTTTACAAATGTTGGCCAACTGAAAAGTATGAACATGAAAAGTATGAGCATGTACAGCATCAATACTTAGTTGTTGCTCCTTTTGCCTGGATTACTGCAGCAATGTGGCATCCATGGAGTGGATCAGTCTGTGTCACTGCTCAGGTGTTATGAGAGCCCAGGTTGTTCTGATAGTGACCTTCAGCTCTTCTGAATTGTTGGGTCTGGAGTATCACATCTTCCTCTTCACAATACCTCATAGATTTTCTATGGGGTTAAGGTCAGGCGAGTTTGCTGGCGGCAACTGGTAGGGCTGCTGCCTCTGAGCAAGAAGGTTGCTGGTTCAAATCCCGGTCCGGGGGCTTTTCTGGGTGGAGTTTGCATGTTCTCTCCGTGCATACGTGGGTTTTCTCCGGGTACTCCAGTTTCCTCCCACAAACCAAAAACATGCATGTTAGGCTGATTGGTAACTAAATTGTCTCTAGGTGTGAGTGAGAGAGTGAATGGTCGTTTGTCTCATTTGTCTCTATGTGTCCCTGTGATGGACTTGCGACCCGTCCAAGGTGTAACCCGCCCCTCGCACAGTGATTGCTGGACATGGGCACCAGCGACCCCCATGACCCAAAATGGAAGAAGCGGGTAAAAGATAATGGATGGATGGATGGAGTTTGCTGGCCAATTAAGAACAGGGATACCATGGTCCTTAAACCAGGTACTGGTAGCTTTGGCACTGTGTGTAGGTGTCAAGTCCTGTTGGAAAATTAAATTTGCATCTCCATAAAGTTGTTCAACAGCAGGAAGCATGAAGTCTCTAAAACTTCCTGGTAGATGGCTGTGTTGACCTTGGACCTCAAAAAACACAGTGGACCAACACCAGCAGCTGACATGGCACCCCAAACCATCACTGACTGTGGAACTTGATGCTGGACCTCAAGCAACATGGATTCTGTGCCCCTCCTCTCTTCCTCCAGACTCTGGGACCTTGATTTCCAAGGGAAATGTAAAATTTACTTTAATCAGAAAACAACTTTAGACCACTCAGCAACAGTCCCAGGCGAAACACTTCAGACGCTGTCTCTTGTTCAAGAGTGGCTTGACACGAGGAATGTGACAGATGAAACCCATGTCTTGCATATGTCTGTGCATGGTGGTTCTTGAAGCACTGACTCCAGCTGCAATCCACTCTTTGTGAATCTCCCCCACATTTTGGAATGCGTTTTGTTTCACCATCCTCTCCAGAGTGCGATTATCCCTATTGCTTTTACACTTTTTTTCTACCACATCTTTTCCTTCCCTTCACCTCTCTATTAATGTGCTTGGACACAGAGCTCTAAGAACAGCCAGCCTCTTTAGCAATGACCTTTTGTGTCTTGCCCTCCTTGTGCAAGGTGTCAATGGTCATCTTTTGGACAACTGTCAAGTCAGGAGTCTTCTCCATGATTGTGTAGCCTACAGAACTAGACTGAGACCATTTAAAGGCCTTTGCAGGTGTTTTGAGATAATTATCTGATTAGACTGTGGCACCAGGCGTATATATATATATATATATATATAGTTGCTATGTTCATTGGTCCTCATCTGCTCACACAGACTCATGTTCCTGCTGCTGTGGTTTTGGCACATTGTGTACTATTAGTGCAGTGCATTAATAGTCTTATCTATTCTTGGTTTAGTGAATGTAGTATATTCTTAGTTCATGACTCAGATCTTACTAATGTTTTTTTCTTTACAATTTGTATTTTTGTTGTATGTAACTGGGACCCTGCGTACATAGTTTTGTACCACCTCATGCATCACGTGTGGTGTGTATGACAAATAAATCTCTCTG